GTGTGCTTTTTTCCCCCACATCCTTTCCAACACTCATTTAATATCTGTCTTCATAATGGCTGCCATTCTGACTGAAGTGAGATGATATCTTGGAGTAGTTTTGATTTGCATTTCTCATACTCAAAGGACTTAGTAGCACAATTCACAATAGCTAAACTATGTAACCAACCTAGATACTCCTCAGTAGATGAATGGATTTTTAAAATGTGGTATATATACACAATGGAATATTTTTTTCAGCAATAAAAGAGAATAAAATCATGGCATTTGCAGGTAAATGGATGGCATTGGAGAAAATAATGCTAAGTGAAGTTAGCCAATCCCCAAAAAAAACAAATGCCAAATGTTTTCTCTGATATAAGGTGACTGACCTATAATGGGGTAGGGAGAGTGAACATGGGAGGAAAAGACAAACTCTAGATAGGGCAGAGGGTTGAAAGGGGAAGGGTAGGGCAGGGGTTTAGCAATGATGGTGGAATGTGATAGACTTCATTATCCAAAGTACATGTATGAAGACATGAATTGGTGCGAAAGTACTTTATATACAGAGATATGAAAAATTGTGTTCTATATGTTTAATAAAACTTGTAATGCATTCCATTGCCATGATATAATAAAATAATTAAATATTTTAAAAAATGTGTTACCCATAAGGAACTTGTAGGAAAAGCTACTTTACTCCTGAGTTAGAAGATGTGGCACTTCCCCAGGCTGGTGTTGCAGGATGATCCTCCTAAACTTCTGGGAAAAGAGACGGCTGATGGGACAGTGATTCAGGGAATGACTCCAGGATAAATGACACATGAGATCCGGGCGTCAGCCCACTCAACACCTGTAACTTTCATGCTTGAGCAATGTCTTTTTTACAGACAGATGTACACAATGGGCTCCTGGGGACATGAGAAAATCTGGGGAAAACTAGAAGTCTCTTTCTTACCTAGTAGGAAGAGACTTTCTCTCTGAAGGAAACCCAAGGAAAGACTTATGAGATGACTCCAAATGAGAGGGACTAAAAATGCACTCATTATCGGGGCTTTGTTTCATTGCTTTTGTTCAGTTACTGTCAGTTATCACTCACAGCATCAGGGCTTTGTTTGCTGTGTGGAAATTACCATTCCTTCCAGCTCAGTGACAAGTCACTGGGAAAAGGCTCCTCCCTCCCTAAAAGGACTGCTTGTAGAAAAGGATATTTGTAAGGGAGTCTGAAGACTGAAGTGGAGGAAGAAGAAAACCATTGTAACAGTTCTTGACTCATTAATTAACTGACTGGAAGGGAACCTTTCTGAACCTGGCACGCCCTATCTGGATTGGATTAACTGCCACGGTGTTACTGGCGATTGGATAATTATGAATTTGAGAAAAGTGCATGAACATATTCAACTAACTCTCTTCTCGCTCTCTTTTTGGTATCAAGTATCGAATCCAGGGTTTGCCAAGTTGCTTAGGGTCTTGCTAAAATTGCTGAGGCTGGCTTTGAACTTGAAATCCTCCTGCTTTGGCCTCCCGAGCTGCTGGGATTACAGGCATGTGCCATGGCACCTGGCCACGTCAAACTTTGTGTGATTGTTGCCAAGGTTTTAGTGAAAGGCCACTCCTTTGTGGACTGAAAAGGATAGTCCTGCTGTCAGTGCCCTGGGGAGAAGTTAGTCCTGGGAGTACTTGAGGAAACCCACCACCAAGTAGGGAGAAGGGGAAACTTCTCTTCCCCCTGGACACCAGGGATCATTTGGGTCTAGAATTGAGGTTCTCCTTGGGATATGGAACATTCCTGTCTGGGTAGAATTTGATCTGGGAAGAGTGGGCTTGCCCTAGGAAGATAGGAGAGGTAGACAAGTATTCTGGGATGGCTCCTGCACTGGGCAGCACTATAATACTTATAGGTTACTAATGACTTTGGGCTTCCCATTATCCCCAAGCCTTCAGCAATCTTTTGAAATGACCAGAAAGTCAAGGTTGTTTTCAGTGGTGCTCTGAGGAGCTAGCAGAAGGCTTCTAGTCACACCATAACTTTTTATCTTAAATCATATTTCAAAAGTGCTTATGAGCTAACAATCCGTGGCAGACTTTGTGTCACAAGAACTATTCAAACTGAACTTTTACTTGATTTTAAGTTTCTTTTCATAGCTTTCACTTTTCTTGCTAGCAAATTTGTTTCTGACATCATATGGTTGTCTGGGAAGTATTTTATAAAGCATTTCAGGTGGCCTACATTTGTCACATGGCTGACCATGAAAAGATGGAGAGGTGAGTTAGACCTGTTGGCTTTGAAACGCACAAGGCTGCCTGGGTCAGTGGGCCAGGGGTCAGTTTCCACCTTGTAAGATCAAGTCAGAAGATTAAGTCCATGCTCAGAAATTCCTATTATCTTAGGCTTTTTTTTTTCCTGCTAAAAATGTTACAATTCCCTTGGATTCCTTGGTTTGTGCTATATTTTTTTTTCTCCTAAAATCTCTTCTAGTTTTTCATCCTTTGTTTATTGCTGCTCTTACCTTTCAAACTAAAACCAAAACAAGGGAAGATAATTTCACACTTTGGTCCATTATTCATTTAGCATAACTGGCTGTACTGCTTAGGGGACAGGATAATAAAATAAAGATATGTCTCATGCTGATTGAAATTAATTTTATTATAGAAAGCTTCCAATTTTAACTTCATTGAAACTGAAATTCACATTTTAAATACGTTTTCAACAAACTCATCTTAAATTATAACCTACACAGGAAAAATATTAGCAGTTTCATTTATCTTTAGCACATTTTTAGGTTGTCATTATAATTGTGTAAAGATTTTTCTCTAAATAATAAACATGCATTGCTTTATAATAGAACTTAGATTAATATACTCATTACAGACAAGTAATTGCCTTAACAAAAGAGACAATTCCAAAATAGTTTCTAATACTACATTTGGTTATTTAACAGTCATGTGGGACCTGGATATTTGGAATATGAATTACAAGTATCTCTAATAGCTTTCTTACAGTATTTCTATAATAGATTATTACAACTTTTACTTTGTAGAAGCTAAATGTGGAAGCTCAAAGCAGTTGACATGTAATCAGCATGCTTAACAACATCCTCTTTCAGACAGCATAGCCCAAACCACCAAAGGACAGCAATTTTATAGTTTTTGTCACATGGAAGATAGTCTTAATCAGGTTAGATTAGTTAACTTGAAGATACTGTTGAAGTCATAAGAAAACTTAAATAGAGAAAATTCTATCAAAAACCATGTGCTATATGAATATTAAGTGAAATTCAAATTAAGTTATAAACAGGTTCATTAATAATGTACAAACTCACCGAAAGTGATCAACTCTGTGACAGTACTTAGCAACTCTTTTTACATACTGAGGACTTGTATTCCATTTCTATCAGAATGAAATCCAGTTTCTCAGCTAGGTTGGTTAGGAGTCTCATTTTGGACAGAATGAGATTTTTTTTTTTTTTTGACTCCTGCATCCTTGATCTAAAAAATGATCATAAGTCTCTTCAGGGCTCCTCACATCCTGCTCCTCTTCCATTTCTCTGGAACATTCTCTTACCCCTCCCACTTTCTCTGTCTTACCTCAGGTATCTTTGCTTCCTTAAGGTCTTCTTCAGGTGAGTTAGAGCCTCTGTTCCAATTTTTCCTAACATCTTAGCCCTTTACTTTAAGTCTCCAACCCCTTTGTCCAACCCTTTCCTTTAACAGTTGCAGAGAGATTGTTGGGCCCTTGGTGTTGGCATTACCTTTCCTCACCTGTGTTTCAGAGAAACCAATTCCACTTGTGTTTCCAAAGACTGGCTGGGGCTGAAAGAGACTTTGAGAAGCTATTCCTGAGGTCATGGGCAAAGGTAAAGATTGGGAGGATGGGAAGTGAAGATGCTGGAGTGGAAAGAAGTCTGGAGCCCTTTCTCTGAGCCTGGAAGTTCCTTTCAAACCAATTTTCCTCTGATGGTTGTGTCAGGTGCCTCAGAGATGAAACTGGGCAGCTGAACTGGTGTCTGAGTCCTGATAGATAAGATTCAGGAATTTCAGGGAAGTCCCAGTCCTCCTGGAGCACATGGTTTAGACAAGGGGTCTAAGTGGGATGAATGAAGACCATTATACCCTTCTTTAACAATTCTGAACTGTCCTAGGGTTCTCACCACCAAACTTTTGAATGGTCTTTGAAGAGCAACAACACATCTCTGAGATGGTTTTACTCCTGTATCCAGTTTGTAAGGGATTAGAAGACATAAAATTCAGTTTAGAGAGAACTAAAGGAATTATCACCTATACTGTTATGAACTATGCATTGGATGCTCTGATAATAGCCTTCTTCCCTCCTAGATTGCTCTGGGCAGTTCTGGGTTTCCTTTCCTACAAACCTCCAGGTAAAGCCTGGTGGACTTTGGAACTTGATAAATACTGAACGATATTAAATTTGAGGGCCTCATTTTCTAGTAGGTTTGTGCACCAGATTTTTCTTCAACCACAAACTGAAAATATTCATCTTAGTACAATTATGGAAGTAAGCACCAGACTACTAATATACACATCTAAGGACATTTTTTTTTCTTAGAAGGTTCATATAAGCCCACGAAACTTGTCAGTAAATAAGCTCTTAGTATAATCACTATCATTTTGGGTGTGTAAAAAAAAATGATCAGATCTGAATTTCTTTTCATTGGTTTTAATGTCTGGCATACCAAAATGCCAGTTTATTCATGCCACTTGGGATAATTTTCCTTCAGTCCTTTATAGTGTCCCCTTAGACACATTCCAGAGACAACACATATTTTTGTTGTTGTTGTTTGTTTGTTTGTTTAAACACGACATGGCCCAGAATTTGCTCAGGAGTTGAAGGGAGAAACTGCTGATCCAATCACAAGGTGTTCTTGGCACCCAGGAGGGCCCGAGTTGGGGCAGGCAGATTTGGGTTCCGCAGTGGGAATGCTCAGCGCAACGCGGCGTCAGCGATGCACGCCCCGGGACGATCTGGGCGGCTTCCCCGCTGGGCAGACTAGGGGTGTGGGAGAGCGGGTTGGGGGTGGGCCTGGGACCGCTTTCCCGAGAGCGAGCGCCCGCCTGGACCGCCACGGGGAGAGAGAGATGGCAGGCTCGGGCAGCTCCCCAGCGGCTCCGCGGTGATAAAACTTGAGAAATAACTAGGAGGGGCTGCTCTACGTCTCCTGGGTCCAATCCGGTTTCAGGAGAGAACACGCTCCCGGGCAGACAAGCCTGAGAGAGGCCAAAGCGACTACAAGACAAGCAACAGCCAGCAAAGCTCCTCCCGCGCCTTTGCTCTCGGCTTCGCCGCCCTGCGCCGGCCTTCTCCTGCCCCTGTCCCGCGCAGGCAGGGATGGCCGCCGCCGGTCTCCGGGGGCCACTGTATGAAGCCCTCTGCATGCAGCTGCTGCTGACCCTGTTGGTGAGCCATCGGTCCCGGTCCCTATCTTAATTATGGAGCCGGAATGGCGAAGGGGGTCGCTGCGGGTGGGTGTGATGGGGTGGAAGGGGACGAAATGGAACCAAAGGTAACATCCACGGTTCGGCTCAGTTCTGCCGGGCAAGATACAGGCCCCAAGTTCAGTCTTGGGTTGGAGAAAGAAAACGGATCTTTGAGGGGCAGCTGTATACTCAGATTTTTTTTAGCCTCATTGTGTGAATCCTGCGTTGCTTTCCAACTTCTCCGCACTTGGCTGAGAGCTGTCGTGGGTGGGCAGGGAACTGGGACTCGCTGTACTCTTCTGGCTTGCAGGGTGGGATGGTAAAGGTAACAGGGCGCGCCTATGGGTGGAGAGAGACAAAGGATGATTGTTGGTCAGTTAGGATCCTGGAAGGAGCAAAGACAGACTTGAGATGGGGCTCAACAAACTGCCACTCCTTGCCCTGCTCTAAGATTCCTGTTGACCTCAAATGGGGACATTTGTGAATGGAGTGGTCAGACCTGTGCCCCTGAGTACCCTGTGGGGTTTTTCTCCCAGAAACGGGTTTCCTGGCTGTGCGTCTCCTAAAGGCTACTCAGGAGTTCTCCCAAACTGTCCACCCCCTTGTCACCCAGCCCGCAGCAGTGTCTCTCTGGAGAGCGAGGGTGTGGGAAGGTTGGGCAAGGGTTACTCTTGGGGACAGGGTGGTAGCAGGATGGCGCGGTGGCTAGGAGTGGGGTGAAGCTTAAGAATGAAATCAATGTCGGTTGGGATGAGATAGGAAGCAGCAGGATGGGTGGTGCTTAGTCCGGCTCTGGGAAGCCCTTTGGCCCTGCAGAGACCCACTAAGGGTTTCCTTTGCCTTTTGGCTGAGGACAAGATTCGCTTGGACAGGAAGTTCTCCCAGAACCCAAGGAGACTTGATAAAAATTGGGAAATCTGACAGCAGTTTTCTGTGAAACTTCACACCTAACCAGAGTGACACTTGGGACCTAGGAGAAAGAGCTGCAGACTTCCTCTTGTCCAAACATGGGCATGAGGTCCGGAGGGTGAAAGGACTCTGTCTACTAAGTGGGTTCACTGTGGCCAAGCCGGTCTTGGGATTCCCTCACCCTCAAGTAGGACGAGTGGGTCCAAACTTTATTCTCTCTTTAAATGGGAGAGCTATGAATATTAGATTAGTAGTTGTGATCTAAGATATACCTGCAGGCAAGAATTTGTACAAACAAAGGCATGACAAGCTCTGCAACTGTTCCCACAAAATGAGTTCAAAAATGACTCCTTACACATGGGAACTGCTGGCAAAGTGTATTCTGTGATATTTTGAAGACATTTCCCGCAGTTCTATGAAAAATCTTGAATCTGGTGTTTTGTGTTTTCTCTGAGAAGGGATTAGGGAACAGGGAGAAGAAACTGCAGGTACTATGTTTCCAGATTCCCAGTATTTGCTCCAGGGGAGGGTGCAGAAGACACCTAGCTGTCCTGACCCAGAGTCACAATGGGGATAGGCAGTACCAGTGCCAAAGTGGGTAGAAATGAAACAGAGAAAGTTTCAGCTCTGATCTATGACATACTCCTTCAGGATTATTTTAAAAAGGAATTTTAGTAGTGTACTTACTAAAATTAAGTAAGTATATTTGGAGACCTGGAGAGTTTACACAGAATGGTAATTTCTTTCATCTGCAACCCTCAATTTACAAATTCTTTGGGTCCTGATGGGTAAATTAAGACCTCGATTGATCCTCTCTTTTCTATATGTTCTTCCAACTTTGAGTATATCATTAATAGCATATCATTTTAGAAAAACTGTTCATATTCTAGAAACTAATGAGTCTCTTCAAAAACAATTGCTTGTTCTAAGGAGAAAGCTTTTCAAAGGAAGTCTTAACACAAATCTGAGATTTCTAACATGTTAACCTTCTCACGGAGCTCTGCCAGAAGGTAGAGGAATTTTCCTAATTTGCACTTTTCTTTTCCTGTTTCTCTTTCCCTCTGTTCTTTCCTCAACTAGACTAAAACTGCTGTCAGAGAGTTTCTATTAAACACACACACACAAACTGAGGAGAGAACAAAAATAGGAAAGAAATACGTTCAGCAATCTCACTATTTAAAGTTTTTAAGTGTCTTTCTGAGTGTTTATTCTCTTTTTGGGAGAAGCTGTATGGGGGATTGAATTCAGGGGCACTAGGCCAGTCCTCCTACTTTGTATTTTATTCAGAGATAGAGTCTCACTGAGTTGCCTTGACATAGCTAAGGCTGGCTTTGAATTTGCAATCCTCCTGCCTCAGCCTCCTGAGTCGCTGGGATTATAGGCTTACCCATTGTGTCTGGCCAGAGGGCTTTTTTTTTTTTTCAATTTAGTTTTTAATTATAGTTGGAAACAATAACTTCATTTTATTTATTTATTTTTATGTGGTGCTGAGGATCAAACCCAGGGTCTAGGCAAGCCCTCTACCACTGAACCACAACCCCAGAGTGTTTTCTCTTTTAATGTAAGAAAAATTATTAGGGATGGTGAAAACTAGTTTTCATTAGATAAGTTGCCTTCTCAATGTTACAAATAGTAGGACTCTTTAAAATATGTGTTTAATAGTGTTCTCCATATCAAATCTACCTTGAGGATGGTATCATTCCCATTTATATGCTATAAATGATATATTTTTGGATATAGTGTATCATTTGGCTAAGAGGACTTTTCTTCCAAAGAAACTAAAGTGGTAACATTTGGCATATGAACCCCTCCTCCATACACTATTGTACTTTTCCCTCTTGGGATATATATGAATTTTACCTACACCTGGTGTTGACAAGTGTGCATTCCATCTTTTCAGGTTTTATAACATTGATCAATGAGAATGGTGTGTGACTCCTTTATGAGACTTTTTTGACATACCCATACTTTTCAAAATAGAAGGGAACACAACAATTTATACTGACTTATATGCTTGCCAAAAACAAAACAAAACAAAACAAACAAACAACAAAAAAAAACGATTTAGGCAAGTAAAGTAAGTAAATGAGAATGAGTTCATTTTACAGCCACAATCTTAAGAAAGTCAAATTTTAATATATATTTAAACTGATGCATTATTAGTTACCTTTGTAAAACAAAATGCAGCTAGATCCAGAAGCCACCTCTGAATGACTAAATGAATGTACACCCATGCACATTTTTTGGTTCTGTTGTCATCCCCACAGCAGTTGTCTTCCATATATGGCACCTGCAATTAATCATACTTTCCTTTTAACCAGAATTCCTATCTTAAAATGAGATTGGTTATAAGGAAATTTATTAGAATGATCTAAGTACTTTGAATATAAAGAAGTAAATTTTACCATTTACCTTCCAAGTGCTAAGAATTTGAAAGGTCCTATTTCCATTTTGTAGAAGGCAAGTGTCCACAAGAGAAATTAAAAAAAAATTAAAATTTTGTTATCTTTTTGCTCAGTCAAGAGAATCCCCTTTACATTTCAGATACCACATACATTTCTTTTTTTTTCCCTTTCAGTACTGAATATAAATTTTAACAAGTCCACAGAATGAACAACCATTACTATACCGTTTCCATTGCCTTAAAAAGAAGGCTCATGCCCATTACAATCCCTTTCCATTTCTACTCCCAGTCCTAGGCAACTACTAATCTGTCTCTATCTAGTCAGTTGCTTTGGTGGGGATATTTCATGTAAATGAAATTATACAACAGGAAACTTTTGTTCACTTATTTTTACTGGGCATAATTATTTGTCTATGTAGTAGCATGCATTTGTTTCTTTTTATAGCTGAATAATATTCCACTTTACCAATATTTACCATTTTGCTATCCATTCATCAGTAGATATACGTGAGAGGTTTTTTTTAATACTTCTTGGTCATTGTGAATAATGCTGCTGTGAATAGTCATGTCCATGCTTTTATGGAGACATAAGTTTCCATTTCTTTTAGACAAAGTAGGATTACAGAATCATAGCCTGAGTTTATGCCTAACTCTTTGAGGAGCTACTGATCTGTGTCCCAGGTATTTGCACCACTTTACATTTCCACTATCAATGCAGGAAGTTCTCATTTTTTCTACAACCTCATCAACAACTAATTGTTTTTTCTCTTGTTTATTTTAGCCATCATAGCAGGTATCTCATTATGGTTTAAATTTGTATTTTCCTAATGCCTAATGAGGCTGGGCCTCTTTTAATCTATGTAAGGTCCATTTATATATCTTCTTTACATAATATCTATGCAAATTATTTGCCTATTTTTGTGTCATTTTGTTATTGAGATATAAGGTATCTTCATATATTATTTATATAGGTCACTTATTGTTATATAATTTGAAAATATTTTCTCTCATTCGCTGAGTTATATTTTCACTTTTCTTATATCATTTGAAAAGCAAACATTTTAAATTTTGATTGTGTTGTTTATTAATTTCTTGATCACTTTGTGTTTTTGGTGTTATATCCAATAAATTGTTGCTTGACTCAGGAACACGGAGATTTACTCTCAAGTTTCCCTTTAAATAGTTTTAGTTCTTGCATCTGGGTCCGCAATCCATTTTGAATTAATTTTTGTGTGTGGTATAATTTGGGGGTTCCTATTCACTTTCATTGAATGAGGATATCTGATTTTCTCAGCACTATGTGTTAAACAGATTTCTTTCTCTTGAACTTTCTGGAAGCTAACAACAAGTGAAGTTATTTCCAGAATTTCAGTTCTACTCCACTTATCCACATAATTATCTTATTGCCATTTCAAACTCTGGCATCTATTTAACCTTATAGTTAGTTTTGAAAATGGAAAATGTAAGTCTTCCAACTTTGTTCTTTGTCAAGTTTATTTGGACTCCCTTGCATTTCAATAAGGATCAATTTTCAGCTTCTTAAAAAAAAAGAAAAAGATAGCTGAGATGTTGATAGGGGTTTATTAAATCTGTACATGAGTTTGGGGAATATGTCTTTCAATCCATGAATATAAATGCATCTCCACTTATTTGGGTCTTTTTAAGTTTTTTTCACTAACATTTTATTGTTTTCATAAAGAATTCTGTACTTGTTTGACAAAATTTATCCCAAAATATTTTATTCTTGATTATATTGCATGTGGATTGCAAGTGCTATTCCAATTTTTATTTGTAGTTGATTTGAAAGAATGCCTCAACTCTGCAGACCTTATCCACTCACGTCATTCTACTTTGTTTAGTTTTGTTTTCATATTTTTCATTGCTCGTGTACAGGGATATAATCAATTTTTGTATGTTCATTTGTATCCAGTTCAGCCTTGCTGAATTCATTAACTTTTTTTTTTTTGGTGGGGGAATAGTTATTCAATGGATTCCTTAGAAAATTCTATAAACAAGATTATGTTATCTGTGAATAGAGATAATTTTACTTCTTCCTTCTCAATTTGGGTTTAATTTTATTTTCTTGTGTAATTACCCTGGCTTGTTTAATTACCAGTACAATGTTGAATAGAAGTAGTGACAGTGAACATTATTATCTTTTTCTTAATGTAAGAGGAAAGAAGAAAGTTTCTTCATTAAGTTGGAATTAGTTGCAAATTTTCCACAGATGCCCTTTATCACATTGAGCAAGTTCCCTTAGATTTTTGTCAATTGCTTGTTCTACATTTATTGAGATTCTCAGGTAGCTTTGTTCTTTACTCTGAACTGTACTAATGTGTTCTTTGTTTATTCTAGGTCTTCACTTTTGCTGGTGAAGCCTGTAAAAGGGTGATATTTAATGTACCCTCTAAGCTAGAGGCAGACAAACTGATTGGCAGAGGTGAGAAATTGCAAAACAATCTCTTTATGTTTTTAATTATTTTTTAAATGTGATACTGTGTTTGAACTCAGGGCTTCACTCATGCTAGGCAAGTGCTCTACCACTGATCTACACCCTGAACCCTGCAAAACAATCTTTTAAAAATATAAATTTAGTTTATTCAGGCTTGAAAGGATACAATATACTATCTTTGCCTTTCTGGAATTGGCCTGAATCTAACTGTAAGTATACAAAATTCAAAATTATTTCAAACATTTTCTTTGCTTTTTATGACTCTTTAGGTTCTAGCATAAGTGTTCTTATCCATGTTTTTGTAGTCATTTGTGTTTTAATAATTTAAAAATTCCACAAAGAATTATACATAAAGCATAGTTCTTTCAGTATTCCAGATTTCTAAGCATTAGAGAAATATATATGAGGAGCTGAGAGAATCAGAGCAGTGTCTTAATCAGTGCTTTTGCTACATTGAGCAACATAAAAATGTGAGACATTCCATTAAAAACTAACTCATGCTGCCATTTGCACATTGAGCACTGAGGAGCTGGGAACCTCAGACTTTCTCAATAGGGGAAATGCTCTGCTCAGAGGGGCTGTCCTAGTAGATGCAGAGAATATTGGAAGGAAGCATTCTTTTTTTTTTTTAAAGGTATAGTGTCTCCCAGAGATATCAAATCTTACTTTTCAACAAAATATTCCATTACTAGTTAAAGACCCTCAGATAACTTTCATAAACAAATGACAACTTTATTCCTATGGGGTCGAAGAAAATGAATGAATATAGAGAGGTCTGGGGTATTTAGGGGAATACATCAGAACTTCTCATTTGGCTAAAAATGTGAGAATAAGAGAAATATTCACTTATTTTGGCTAAACATCTCCACCAGTAACAGACTCAGATTGAAGTGAAAGTACTACACATGTATACAGTATATGGATCCTTTGGGAGGATTAATTTAATTAATACTCAATTATTAATTTATCTGTTTGGATTCTGCAAAAGTATGTAGATAAACAATGAGATATATTTTCATTATCTCTTACTAAAGGTCAAAATTTCTAGGGAGGGAAGACACCATGTAGAGTTTTTAGTGGGATACCAGAAAGCCAGACCCCATACATACAACCTTGGACTTATGGGGAGAAAGTATACAGAAGAGAGCCAATGGGTACAATTCAAAGGTTGATTCTTCTTTCTTGACTGTTTGCCTAACTCCATTGTTCTTTGTGCTCATGTGTAAAATTTCTGAGTGAAGACAACTTAAAAGACTTACAGTGTATTGTTAAGGGAAACTTTTCTGTGTGTTTATTCAGGTGTATGTGGGGGTGTGTAGCTCAACTTTGTCACGATTTAAATGCCTACTCCTCTTTAATTGGAAGGTCACTTTCATAAGTCTATGAGAAGCGTATTAAGGTTTAAGACACCGTGTTGGATAGAAATATGCAATTGAGAATTATTTTTTTAATTAGAATAACATTTTCTAATAAAATAAGAGGACTAGTTCATATATTTATCAAATATAAAGTGGTTTATATAATTTTACTTCTTGGTGTTCTGGAATATTATAGAAGTGATTTTAGTATACTTTTTCTTTTTGCATGTGTTTCTACTTTATAATTTTTTTTTTTATCTGCAGTTGATTTGAAGAAGTGTCTCACGTCTGCAGACTCTGTCCAGTCAAATGATCCTGATTTCAGAGTTCTGGATGACGGTTCCGTGTACACAGCCAGGGCCACTGTGTTGTCTAGTGAGAAAAGATCATTCACCATAGGACTTTCTGACAGGAAGACACAGACCCAGAAAGAGATTTATGTGCTCCTGGAACACCAGAAAAAGGTACATCAAATATTTCCAGGCATATTGTTATTTTCACTAAAAGACACACTCATTAAAAATTGCAAAGAGGACCAAAGGATAAATTGTATATTTTCCTCTCCTTTCCTTCCCTTTCTTTCCTCTTCCTGTTACCCTCTCTCCCCTTTTTCCTTTCTCTCCACACCACTACACACTGGCTTTGGTTTTATTCTGTTAAAATCTAAGGAATACCAACCCCCTCTGTGAAGTTTTCTTCCATCTCTAAATTTTGGTTAATGATTTTTATGCCCATCATCAATTTGGCAATTGTACTATTATAGCATTGAGGATTTTTTTATTAATGCAAACAATAAAAAAAAATCATGATGAATGGGGATGTGAAGGTACTCACAAAATGCTGAAAGCTTAGATCGTGTTACTCCTATGTTAACTGCACAAATGATAAAGTTAATTAAAATGACTGCTTAGCACTTGACTCAGTGTTTAATATAATTATTTATTTTCATCATATCTAATGTCTACTTGCTATACATCCTGAAATGAAATGAGTATCACTAAATTGCCCAATAGAGCTTTTCTGTCATGACAGAAATATTCTCTGATCTGCACTGTCTGGTATGGTAGCCCAGTAAAAATGGCTACTGAGCCATGTGACTAGTGCAGCTGATGGATAGAACTTTTCATGTTATTTAATTATAGTTAATATAAATAAGCCCATGGCTAATGATGGCCAGTGGCTACCATATAGGAAAGTGTAAATAGAGTGTTAAGGCAGAGAAGGACACACATATAATTTTTGTGGCTCACATGAGATTGTGAGGCTTTAACAGAAAAAACAGATAAGTGCTGTGTAGAGTGACAGTGTTTTTTTTGTTTGTTTGTTTTTGTTTTTGTTTGCCACAATGGGATCCAATCCAGGGCCTTAAAGTGCCCTATTGCTGAATTTCACACCCTCACTTCCTACTGATGGTTATAGAGAGGATGCATTCTCTATTTAGGCTAGAGTAGAACTAAGAGTATAGTGATTTTCCCTAACCAAAAGTATGGTCAGTGCTGGGAAGGTATGCAAAGGAAATTCTCTAGTCATGAAATCTTTAATAACTGTATACATTCTTGTACTTATCATGAGCAAGGATTTATTAACTGGTTTTAACTTGAGCATGGAAATTCCTATGTGAACCTCTAGAGAGACTTTATGTTTATAAGCTGCCCACCATTTTACAACAAAGCAGACTGTGATGCTTTTGTTTATGTATTCTTTCTTTAAATTCAGGTGTCGAAGAAAAGACACACTAAAGAAACTGTTCTCAGGAGAGCCAAGAGGAGATGGGCACCTATTCCTTGTTCAATGCAAGAGAATTCCCTGGGCCCCTTCCCTCTGTTTCTTCAACAAGTAGGTCTATATTTTTTCTGTTTATGAGTGTTTATTTATGAGAGTCTTTTTAGTTCAGGTTTAGAAGAATATAGTAAAGACAGTAGAATGAATCAGACATAAATTTTCTATGTTCATAAATGAATATACTACCAGTGTAACGCCACATCGTGTACAACCACAAGAAAAGGATCTGCATTAGAATAAGTTATACTCTGTGTATGTATAACACGTCAAGATTCATCTCTACTACCACATATATCTAAAAAGAATACATAAATAAATAAATTGATTAAATGTTTATGAAGTATAATAAAAAACAAATAAAGTAAAAAAGTTATTAAAATACTGATGATATCAAATGGACTCTATAGCCATTGAATGATCTTTATTCACTTATTCATTCATTTAGCAGATAGTTATTCATTCATTTAGCAGATACCATGTTCTGTGGCAGGCATTGCTTTAGGTATTAAAGATGGAAACAAATTTAGTCTTGGCCTTTGCTTTGTGTAGTTCATTGACTTAGTAAAGGAGGTAGAAATAGATAAATGATTATAACTCCTGGTAAGGACTTCAATGACTGAGATGTAACCATTAGAGTTAGCTGGTAATGCATGTGTTAAATCCCAAGTCCTGAGATCGGGTATTGAAAACAAGAAAGAGCTCAAGGGAAGAGTTGTTTGAATTGAGACCTGAAGGATGGGACAGTTCTGTGCAGGTCAATAGTTGTGGAAGAAGAGGGAAATACGGAGATGAGAGGAATGAGAGCAAGCCTGGCTTCTTAAAGGAGCACTGGAGCTTAAACTTCCCAGGCATGATGAGGGTGGAGCAGAGGGAAGGGGCAGAAACAGCAGGTATGTATCAAAGCGCTAAAAGCCCTGTGCATTTTCCTAGAAAGTTCCACTGCATCTTAAAAACAGGGAGACAATTTAAGCAGTATAGTAACAGGATCAGGTTTAAACATGTTCTATATGGAGCATGGTTATGAAAGCAATTGCTGAAGTAAGTCTATGGCCTCGTGCTTGTTTCTTTGCCCCTTAAATTTCTTTACTGCGATTGCTTTTTAAGACTGCTGTGATCTGTGTGCCACTTATTTAACTTTTCAATATTCTGTTTTTATTTTTTTCTAAAAAAATATTTATTTTTTAGTTTTTTAGGTAGACACAATCTTTATTTTTATGTGGTGCTGAGAATTGAACCCAGTGCCTCATGCATGCTAGGCGAGCATGCTACCACTTGCGCCACATTCCTAGTCCCTCACTCAGTTTTTGTTCTACCCAGCACTTGACCCTTGCTTCTTCCTCATAAACATCCTACCTTAAACAGTGATGAGGCATATTGAGAAATGACTCCTGATTATTGAAATTATCCTGATTATAGACAGTTTTAGTCACTGCATTACTAAACCTCTCTGTCCTTAATTCCTTGAAATATATACATTGGACATACCTGATCCTTCCCTCTTGGAAACCTTTTCCTTACTTGGCTTCTAGCAAACCATTCAAACAGTTTTCTAATTTCTTTCATTGGCTTTTTAAAATTCTTTTTTTTTTCTGGGGCTTTTCTTTATCCTCCTTCCTCAGTCAGTCTCTAAACTTTAGAGAGCGCCAGGGCTCAGCCATGAACTTGCTTCTTGTTTATTTATGTGTACTCTTTTATCGGTCTCATCTCTTCTCATGGCTCTATGTACATGGCTCACACACGGGAGACTGGAGCCTTCATATTTCCAGCTCAAACTGCCTAACTTAACATTTCCATTTAGAAGTTTAATACACATTTTAAAATTTAAACTTGCATATACATATGAAAGTTTTGGTTTTTCTTCCAAAAAACATTTCCCATTTCATTTAGTAATTCCTGGTCATTCCTGTGTGTTTCATCCTAAGGTTTTAGTTGGAAAGAGCACACGTCTCTCCAAGTAGACAACAGATTGGGATTTATTACAGTAGGTCCAGTACTTTAAAGAATTGTTAGGAGGGCTGAAGAAACAAAATTTAGTTTGAGCTTTCAGGAACAAATCCCAAACTAGCCACATCACAGAACAGAACCTACCACCAGGGGTCATTTGCTTTCCTTGTGATAGAGAAGACACTGATTCTGAACCAGAGTGCCACTGCTATGGTGAGAGAAGCAGCACAGCCAGAAGGCTGCTCCTCCTCATGTAGCTCCAGAGTAACTCTGCGCCATTCTAACCAACATTACAAACGGATTGACCATAGCCTCTCTCTCCACCTCCACCAAGTTAGTGAATAAATACTAGAACTTCTGTTGGTACAGGAAAAAAAAGAAAGAAAGAAAATTGCAGCTAAATAGCAAAAACACAGTAGAAGCAGCAAAAATAAAAAAATCTGTCTCAATTAAAAGTGTCCAAATCTTGCACAAGCACATCTGACAGTCCCTATTTCAATCTAGAACTCTGGCTACTGAGATGCTAGAAATTTTAACATTTTTTTTTTGGGGGGGGGGTTGTCTGACTCTTTCCAGCATCTACACTATCAGAGGACACAATAGAAGGAATATGAAATAGATGTTGAGTCCCAATGTATTAAGTCCACCTCTTCTTCTCCTAGCTAAGTTTTAAGTTTTTGATTATTGCAGGACACCGGCATGGTTACATTTTACTGAAATCCAAAATAATAGTGGTGTAAGCAAGACAGAGGCTTACTATTCCACGAAAGAGTGACCTAGTAACAAGGCTCTAAAGTGAGGCAACACCAGGGATGTAGGATTTTTTTTTTTTTTTTTTTTTTTGGTACTAGGGATTGAATCCAGTAGCTCTTAACCACTGAGCCACATCCGCAGCCCTTTTTATTTTTTATTTTGAGACAGGGTCTTGCTAAGTTGCTTAGGACCTCATTAAATTGGGAAGGATGACTTTGAACTTGTGATCCTCTGCCTCAGCCTCCTATGTTGCTGGGATTACACCACTGCACCACTATGTCTGACTGGCTTTTTTATTTTTTATCTTGACCACACCTGAAAACTCATTTACATCATCTTAGAAAGTAAGGGCATACTTCATCTTCTTTTTCTAGAGCACAGCCTGGATTTTGCACAGCTATTTTTTATTTTTACTTTTTAAAAATCTATTTTATAATTACCATTTATATTATTTTTATCTTCATCCTGTGGACCTGAAGTTTCCACGTGATCTTACCTAATTTTAAAGGAGACTGAGGAATACCTTTCTTCTGGGTATCTTTGTGTTCAGCTATAAATTCTAATACTAAGGAAGATAAGCAGAAGAGATATTAGGTGATACCATACCACCCTCTGATATGGTATCATGCTTGACTTATACTTAACTCCACATATCCAACCCATTGGCAAATCTATTGACCGGACCTTTCAATTGTATCCAGAATCTAACCATTTTTCACCATTCTTCCTGCTACTGTTAGTTTAATAAACAATCTTCTCTCCCTTGAATTTTTGTAGTAACTTTCAAAATGGTCTCCCTGCTTTTTCCCTTACTTCAGACAAAGGAACAAGTATTGCCCTTTTGAAATGCAAAAAAGAAAAACAATCCTTTAAAAGGCAATCTATGGAATGAGAGAAAAAAAATGTAAGCTATCTGTAAGGGATTAATATCTAAAATAACCAGGAACTCACACAATATAATAGCAAAAAGCCAAATAATCAGATTAAAAAATGGGCAAAGGACCTTAATGGATATTTCTCCAAAGAAAACACAAATGATCAACAGGTTCATGAAAAGGTGCTCACCATCACTAATTATCACATAATATAATCACAGTGAGATTTCACCTCACACCTGTGAGGATGGCTATTATTAAAAATATAAAAGAGAGAGAGAAAAGTGCTGGTAAGGATGTCAAGAAAAGGGAACACTTGTATACCACTGATAGAATTATAAACTGATTAGTCATTATGGAAACCAGTATTGAAGTTTTTTAAAAAATTAAAACTAGAACTGCTGTATGATCCAGCAACTCCACTTGTGGATATTTCTTTGGGTATTACCCAAAGAAAATGAAATCAGCAGGTCAAAGAGACATCTGTACTCCCCATGTTCATTGTAGCCCTTTTCACAATGTTCAAGCTGTGGAAACTACATGATCATCCACTGACGAATGAATGTGTGAAGACCGTCATGATGCATTCAAGACACGCACGCACACACACACACACACACACACACACACACACCTATCCGAGTATTATTGTTCCATAAAAAGGAAATCCTGACAATTGGCAACAACACAGAAGCTGGAGGACTTTATGCTAAGTGAAATAAATCCAGACAGAGAAAGATACATACTGTATGATCTCACTTGTGGGATCTAAAAGAGTTAAACTCAAAGAAACAAAAGTGTGGTTACCGGGACATGGGAGGTGGAGAAAAGGGGGAGATGTTGTCCAAAGGGTTTAATCTGTCAGTTGTAAGATGAATGAGCTCTGGGAATCTGATGTGGGGTGATAGCTGGATTCGTTAATTTGACTGTGGTAATCATCACACGATATATATCTATAAGGGCAACTCATCATGCTGTATATACAATATTTATTTTCAAAAAATTTAATTAAAAATACTTAAGTTTTTAAATGTCTAATTTTTTTAAAAAAATCATTTAAAAATTATCAATGTTACTCTTTTTGATAGTCATCAATGACTTTCTATCTTCATTTTCTACAAGGAAAATCTGGCTTCCTTGGAATCACCTGCCTGATGTGGCCCCTCTCATCTCATTACTGGCTAATCTCCTACTCTCCTCCTGGCTCTTCTGCTCCATCAATAGTGGCTTTTTTTGCAGAACTTTGAACACCCCAGGGACCACCCTAGCCTGATTCCATTGTACTTCCTGTTTTCTCTGTCAGGAAGAATCTTCCCTGTTTTTTCTTACAGCTAGCTCATTCTTGTAATTTTGTGAGTTCCTCTCTCTAGTGTACATTTCAATTCCCTCACCAGTATGGGAGATCCTGTTTGCCTCAACCTTTCGAACAATGGGTATTATTTTTCTTTTCTATTGAATTCTTCTCTTTAAAACAAAAATATATATGAACGCATCAGCTGAATTTTTTAAAGATAGCATTTTAATTTTAATTTCTCACATATACATTTTTCCCTTGTAGGTTCAATCTGATGCAGCACAGAATTACACCGTCTTCTACTCAATAAGTGGGCGTGGAGTTGACCAAGAACCTTTAAATTTGTTTTTCATAGAAAGAGACACTGGAAATTTGTATTGCACCCAGCCCGTGGATCGTGAGGAATATGATGTTTTTGATGTAGGAATTTTATTGAGAAATATGACTTTATATTTTTATTAAATTGTTCTTCCTTTAGTACTCCACCTACTCTTTCCTATCTTCTTGCACTCTATCTTAGAGGGTATCTTAAAATCAAAGGAACATAGAGTGTGCCATAATTTGGAATGCTTGGTCAATACTTCATCTTAACTTTTGTTAGGAAATCCTGAAATGAAACAAAGAAATTTAGTTATATTTGAATGTAAATTCTAGTACCTTTGGAGGAATTTGGTTTTGCTTGTGAGATACTTTCTCTGGTCACTGGTACCTTTTCTTCTCTCTAGTACTTGTCCAGAGTTGAAATAGATCCTACTTCTCTACTGCTTTACTTTTTTGTTTTCTTTCCACATTTATGACTTTGTAATCGTGTCTGAAAACTAGATGAAGAAATAAAAGTGAAAGGAATAAAACCAAGCTCAAACAAAGGCTAGTAAACAAGCATTCTGATAGAGAAGAGCTTGTAATCAAAGACAAATAAGTCAGACAATTTTCATTATAATGTGGTAAATACTATGTATGATGATTTGGGGGTTCATTAATTTGACTGGGTAATCATCACACAGTATATATCTGTATATTCTCCCTGCTGGGTAGAAGGAAGGATTCTCTATTGGAAACAGAGATTCTATTTTTATAGGAGGAAAGAGCTTCTGGGCCAGCAAACGTGGGAGACATCCCCCATATATTATACTTTACTTTTGCTTAGAAGATATTCAACTCAGTGAATACAGTATATTTCTATAAACAGAGTGTATTTCTATACATACTGAATAGAAATACATTTTATTTGACCATATTTTGCCTTTGGTTAATTAGCAATGGAGAAATTAGTAAGTTTATTTTGTTAGAAAAACTCTAACAAATATGTGATCTATGAGGTAAAAAAAAAGGGGGGGGGCTTAAAATGGAAAGATTGGGAATTATTACTTTATGTAAATCACATAGTGGGGATTTTTCCCATTGCAGTGACATTATTTATTCTTCCAATGTGACTTTATGATTATAGAGAAAATAAGGTCTATAATCCAAGTTATTATATCCCAAATAATGCCTCAGAACAGCATGCAGAATTCCCGATTTTGCTATATTCTGATCTAGGTTTTATTTGAAGTGAAGCCATTTCTACCAAATACTAAAATTTCTTTGCTATAAAATGTTTCTCCATTTGGTGCTTTGCTCTAAACAGCATCAAATAAAAATCTATGAAATTGTTGCTGAAAAATATTTGCAGTGAAAATAGTTGATAGAGCATCCTATCCTTTTGCTCTAATTGATATTGACTTTTGAAGCTACTTTTCCTGTTTTATAGTTGATTGCCTACGCATCAACTGCAGATGGGTACTCGGCGGATTTACCTCTTCCACTTCCCATCAAAGTGGAGGATGAAAATGACAACCACCCTATTTTCACAGAAACAATTTATAATTTTGAAGTTCCAGAAAGTAGTAGACTTGGTAAGGCTATTTCTATATTAAATATGTTTGTGTGCATTTTGGAGACATTGATTTTTTTTTAAATACTCATGGCCAGGTCATTGTGAGGTAACATTAAATTAGTACCTACTTATTAGAAAACTTTTATTCACAGTCTATTAACATGTGTCTTACCAGGTGTTTCAGTAATCTTTTTAGCATTGTCAATGTGACACTAATGGACTATAATGGCAGCCAACAGTTATTCAAGCTTTGTATCATATTTGACTTATGTATTTTATTTCATTTTCTTATTATGTGGGTTTATTACTATTGTCACCTCCAGGGGGAAATGAACAATAAAACTAAAAAGTAGTTTTCATATAGAGAGGTGTTAAATGACATCCACTGAGAACACATTTTTTTAAACATCTTTTTTTTTATAGTGTCTCTTCTTTCAAAACTACTACTTCAATACTTCCAATTTAGAATGAATACTGGAATAACATTAGAAAAAGTTACATAATGCATTCCCCATCCTAAACACTCTCACATGTGGAAAATCAAAGTATTTCAGTTTACTTGGCCCCTAAATGTAGCATTCATGATGTCTTCTGAGACTTGTAAAATGAAGAATAGGTATCCCTGTAATAAAGTTGAAAGAATGTGCAGACCCCATCATGAAGGGTGACTTTGCTAAGTCATCTATTAAGGCTTCTCAGGGTCACTTAGATTTTTGCAGCATTATTTCATTTATTTTTCCTCTTTATATTTTACTTTGATAATTTGTTGCCATCAATGTAAACCTCTTTATTATCCACATGTACAATTAAAAAAACACAACGATCATTGGTTTGGAGTTTAGAAAACAGAATTTTTCATGCCGGTTCTCTAACTCATGAATTCATGAGAACTCAGGGAAGTTACTTTGAGTTCTCTCACTTGTAAAAAGAGTTAATTACATTAGATGACCAACACTGGTTTTTAGCTTCACAATTCTATGACTCTGTTTCATTTTTCCTTTCTCAAAAACAGAGAAAACAGTTCCAGAATTTTTATGTTGAGGATTCTGCTTTTTTTTTTTTTTTTCAGTAGCAGTAGAGAACCTAGGGTGAATACTTTGATGCCACCATCAACACCTGGTTCTTGAAGTAATCACATCAGGAGATTTATGCCATTTAAGGCTTTCATACTAAGAAGTTGAAAGAAAATGAATCAGAGATTAGAAAACAACAACAAACAAACCATAAAAAGGAAATACTGGGCAATTGGACTATTAAAGGTCAACTTGACTATCTATATGATCTTATTCTAAATAGGCCTTAGTTTAGCACTTAATCAAGAGTTTAATTTGCAAAAATCTGAATTATTTAGGAGACATGGTTTATTCTTCCAGCTAGGTTTGTTATTGCAAAGTATAAGAGTATATATTGAAATAATTTTTATTGCCATTTTTTAGTAATGCATTATCAAGCATTTTAAATTGTAAGCAAAATACAAGCTGATTCTCAGCATTAAAATGTTTTATTATTCATATAAAGTCATCTTTATTAATTCTATGTAAAGAGCATTACCTCTGGTAAGAAATACATTTTGAATGAGGAGTTCACCATCACTTTTTTGAAAAGTGTAGATACTTCTAAACATGTTTGAAAAGTGTAGATACTTCTAAACATGTTTTGCAATTGTAGAAATTAAAAGTTCTTTTTTTTTTTTTTTTTTTTGGTACTGGGGATTGAACTCAGGGGCACTCAACCACTGAATCACATCCCCAGCCCTGTTTTGTATTTTATTTAGAGACAGGGTCTCACTGAGTTGTTTAGTGCCTCACTCAGTTGCTGATGCTGGTTTTGAATTAGCAATCCTCCTGCCTCAACCTCCTGAGCCACTGGGATTACAGGTGTGCGCCACTGTGCTGGGCTTAAAAATTCTTTTAAATGCACAGGTACAACAGTGGGAGTGGTATGTGCCACAGACAGAGATGAACCAGATACAATGCACACACGTCTGAAGTACAGCATTTTGGAGCAGAATCCGAAATCACCTGGGCTCTTTTCTGTGCATCCCAGCACAGGTGTGATCACCACAGTTTCTCACTACTTGGACAGAGAGGTAATAGCCACATTTTGCAGAATGCCATTTTACTGTGAGTTGAGCGCCTTTTGCTCCTTTGCTGTAATTTGTTATCCTATGGATTAAGAATTCATTAATTTATTACAGTTTTAAGACAATAAGGATTCCTTGCATTTTTTCTGTCCTTTACATTCTATTTCCTTGTCTGTGGTGTCTTGGTCCCTGTTCAATAAAGGCTCCAGTTCTCAGGTAGGACAATAAATTTTGCTTATTTCATGAATATAGATTATAACTTGATCCCTCTTCAGTTATTATAGATGTACATACTTTTTAAGGATCAGTTCAGATAAAGGTGTTGAATCATTAAAATTCTGTAACACTATTTTGATGATATTAATAGTCTATTGTAATTCATATAGTAATTTCTGCTCAAATTATTTATGCATAGATTTATGTGGTTTTTGTAATTTCCTTGTTTGACTAGATAGGTGCTATGTCTAACCTATAGAGGAGAAATATCACGGTAGGAAAGATTGACTTGACCAATTCCAAATATTTCACAGAAACTTCCAATCTTTTGTTTTTATTGTTTCTCTGTCCACTCTTGTCAGGCTACATTTAACTCAGAATTATATCTCATTAACTGAGGCAAAAGAATCAATTTCATATCTATAAAATAGCTTTATTGGAACACTTCAATGATCTCTATTATGAGAATAAAATAAATAGTAGGGTTGACATGCTAAGGAGATTATGAAAAAGAACTCAATGTAATTGACACCAAAGACATAAGAGAATCTACAAAAAGGAATTAAAAGTAATCTAAAAGTTGTAGTTACCATCATTTGAACTTTTTCAGGATTGGAGCATTTATGTGGTAAAGCATATAATGATAATAACAAATAAAAAAGACTAAAAGGGATAATATGAATGTTTTTGTATCTTTGGTACATGTACAGTTAACATGACAACCAAGCAGGACAAGATTTTCCCATTTAATTCAAATGGAAATAAATGATGTTTAGAAATATTAACTATTTTAAGATTATAAAATATATTTGTTCCAGTTTAGGGGAAATCCAGGTGTGTTTGCTTCGTGTAAAAAAAAAATAATCGAATGGAATTTTGTGTGGAACAGTTGGAGTGTATTGTAGAGAACCACAGAGGAACTAAAGAAATGAATAAGGGAGAGAAAGAGACTGAATTTAGGTGAATGGAAACTGGGCAAAATGAAGACTGAGGGATGAGAGAGGGCACAGGACCCATCAAAAAAACCAACAGAAGGTTAAAAATGAGTAAAATAATAAGAGGCTACAATGATGGATGTTTCACAATCTAATGAATTAATTTCACATAACCACACCATGTGCAGAAGTCAACAGTGGCTTCCTAATTGCTCAATCCAACAGTTATGTCTCTGCTTTAGTTCGTGCTTATGAAAACTGTCTTCCCTTGGATTTCCGGTTCCCCTCGTTTCACTGATCTTTCCTCCTTAACGTGCTTTGCATTGACTTCTTATTTTCTCTGTGCTTCAAATGCTATTGTTCCTCATGTCCTCAGCTCTTCTCATCCTGTAATATCTTCTGGATAATCTGATTCCCACCACAATTTCAACCACTCTCTACATAATGATGATGCCCAGGTTGGTATTTCTGCCCATGATCTCTCCATTAAGTATGGAGACATATACCCAGGTACTTCTATATTTCTTTCATTCAATTTACCTTAGGCAAGCAAAATTCAGTATTTGTAAAATAAAACTATTATTTTATCCCCTCACTCTATAGTTCACACCTTCAGAGAACTGTCTCTCTTTCTGCATCTCCAGCATTGGCCAGTCATATTCCTGTCCATCTGTCCACGTAGACACTTATGCATCATACTCAACCAGTTCTCTCTTTTCTTCTTAAGTTGTATATGGAATCTACTATCAAGTCCTACTCCACTGTAATTCCCAAGTGCTTTCCTGTTACCCTTTCTCTCTGTCCCTATTGCTACTGCCTCAGGTTTGGACCACCAGCCTTAGGTTATTGTAGTTTGTGAGTGACCTCATTTAGCTTACTCCAGATTATGCTCAATCTTCTTTAAGATTCTTCTTTCTAAAACTCAAATGTTTCTACATTGCATTTTCTCTGCTTCTCCTAAAACTTTCCCCTATTATCTGTTAAAACATAAACCTAAGTTGTTAGTATATCTTAGGTTTATGTTTTAACAGATAATAGGGGAAAGTTGTTAGTATGTCTTTGTAATTTAACCTCTTCCTACGTTTTCAGTTTTACCTTTCTCTACCGGATTCTTAGAATATATGGAAATACAGAAATCAAGTTAAAGCATGAAAATAGAAAAGGGTACAATTGAGGCTTCCTGCATGAAATTAAACAAAAGTATCTAAGATTAAGCACTGGCTTTGTTTTCAGGTTGTAGACAAGTACAAATTGATAATGAAAGTCCAAGACATGGATGGTCAATTTTTTGGATTGTCCAGTACATCAACTTGTATCATAACAGTAAAAGATTCAAATGACAATGCACCTACTTTCAGACAAAATGCTGTAAGTATATAATATAAAAATCTGTCTGTTTTGTCTCTTTTTTATTAATCTGAATTAATAAAATATTTGTCATACTTTGAAACACATGTAATTCATGAATAACATTAAAATTTATGTACATTATATAACACTTTCATTTATTAATACTAGTATTTATCTGATCTACCTCTTATTAAAGGCCAATGACATTCTAGACTTCTCTTGTAGGGAAGTTCTTTTATTTAAAAGATAACATTGAATGAAATAGTTATACTTATGATTCATGGTCTTAAAATAATCTATAAGAATAATTGGGTTTTTTTTTTTGGTTGTGGTTCTAGATATGCTTAACTACTGAGCCACATCTGAGCCCCTTTTAGTTTTTGAGACAGGGTCTCACTAAGTTGCTTAGGGCCTTGCTAAGTTGCTGAGGCTGGCTTTGAACTTGGAATCCTTGTGCCTCAGCTGCCTGAGCTGCTGGAATTACAGGTGTGTGCCACCAGGCCTGGTGCCCAGCTAAGAATAATTATTTTTAAAGAGGAAGAAATATTTTACTTTCTTTGTAAAAATTTTCTTTATAAATCAAATTTTTAATGAATTCTGTTTCTTTCAGTATGAAGCAACAGTAGATGAAAATACATATAATGTGGAAATCTTACGAATACCTATAGAAGATAAGGATTCAATTAATACTGAAAATTGGAGAGCTAATTTTACCATTTTAAAAGGAAATGAAAATGATTATTTCAAAATTAGCACAGACAAAGCAACTAATGAAGGTGTTCTCTGTGTTGTAAAGGTACAGTAACAACAATTTATTAACAATGTGGAAGCTTCACATATTTTTATCAGCTTATGGTTTAATCAACTAAATAGTTTCAGATCATGGACTCTACCAGCTCAAAGAGAACTTAAACCTATTTAGTCTGGCTCTCCTATTTGAGGCCTGCCTATTCTGTAATTTTATTGCCAGTTACTAGTCTCAGAGCATATGCTTGAATATTAACTATTAGTATCTCTATATCTCCACTGGCAAATTATTCTATATTTGGAGAGTTCTGATTCTCAGAAATTATTACTCCTATTATGCACAAATTATTCTCCTTGCAATCTATGTCTTTCATCCTGATTCTACTTCTAATGCTATTGAGAACTCATACAAGTTTTGGAAAATGCTGCCATATCTCTTTTCTAGGATATATTCCTAATTCTTTTAATCCTTACATAAGTTAGAATCACATTTCTCATTATATGTATATGTATATATATATATATGGTTACATCTGCTCCTTTAGGGGCAATTTTGAAGTTTAAGTACAGAAGCATTTCAGACAGCACAGAATAAACTTATTTTTTGTTCTATATATTGCACGTTTGGTAGAACTGCTATATTCTAGGGCTCAGGTTTTAAGAAAGGATGGGCTCTGTTTGAAAAGGATACTGGTTTTATATTTCTAGACAAGAACAAAAAAGAGTAGGTCATTCACTGTATGAAGGAAATAATATAGTACAATAATATAGTGGCATCTTGGTTACATAGACCTATTTGCAGTTGTTTTCTTTTTAAGAGTTTTCAGGGATGATATACTATGGAAAATTCTATCCAGATGTGAACAGTCAAATATATTCAAACTTCTCCCTTTTTCAGTTTGAATAGTAAACACCAGCTACTTTTAAAAAATTAAGCTTTATATTAAGAGTAAAATAAGAGGAAATAAGAAAATGTTGTCAATTATTTTTTTCTGCCTTACTGGTCCATCCTGTACTTGGACTCTCCAGAAAACCAAGTCCAAAACAATATAGATAGATATTTAGAAAGAGGATCCTTGGAAGCCAGAGTGAAATGGGTAAACAAGACAAGGAAGGATGAAAGCCAATCACGTCTGAATTCTTGGGTGTTCAATCATTCAAGACAATTTTTAGACTGTAGCCCAGAATTACCTGTTCAAGGATGGTCACCCTAGGCATTTACCCCCATTCTTAGACCATTCCCCTGCACTCTGGGCTGGGCTGTGCCTGCCATTTGTCAAAGGAACTTTCTGGCTTTGGAGGAAATTCTGAGTCTGAAGAGCTGAATCTTTGAATGTTCCAGATGTGAATTAGTGTAAGTGAGCTCTGTCCACCACAGCTGTGGCTGAACTTAAGGGTGGACTGAAGGGTTGTGGTGTATGATTTTTTTTTTTTTTAATAAAAAGTGTTGTTATGCATCTAGTGCAGTTTCCAAGGCTGGAGACTTCTGTAGTACGGGCATTTGATTCAAAATTGATGTAATTGCAAATATTTTCCTTGCATCTCCTTTTCCTCCCTACCACACACATCTTTTTTTTTTTCTTCCTGGAAATAAGTCAAAGAAGTATTCTGAGATCTAGAATGGATAGTTTATGCCACCTGAAGTAAGAGACCCAAACTCAGAACTTTGAAAGTGCTCCCAATGTGCTTCTTGGTCAGAAGGAAACTCTTTAGGTTTCCCTCATTCAAGGCCAGTACTCAAGGCCCATTTGAAGAAACTGTATCATAAATATTATTATTATTTAAAAATCTCGATGGTTTTGTCTTGCTTAGAAAACAAATTTAAATAGCATGAAGAATTAAAAATTTTGACCAATTAAAAATAATCTCTAGTAAACTTTCTAAAAAAATGCATTTTGAAAGAACCTCATCACTGAGTATAGGTAAATATATTCAGTATGTCTTTTTTTCCCAAGGAGTACTGATGACAGAAATTAAAGTTTTTGTCCAAATTTTTTTGGAAATTATAGCCTAGATCCTGAAATATTTCTGATTACAAGTGAGTGGTAAACATCAGTTTCACTTCTTGTGAATGTCTTATTGTATTATACTGCAGTAGTCCCCAGAATGGACAGTAATTAGATGTCGTACTTTCCTATTCTGTCTCTAGTTCAGTTTACTTTAATTTTATATATGAAGAATATAAAAATTTTCTGCCCAGTAGTATTTATTTTTATTATTTTAAACATAATATAGTCCAACTTTTATTTAACAATTTTATCTTAGTTATTATATCTAGTAACTACTCTTAGTATTTCAAGAATGTTGAAAGTAGTTGCTATGAACCAGGCACATTGTATATCATGAGGAATAATAGTAGGTACTTTATGTATGTTATATCTAGTTTTCATATCCCCTTTGGGACTAAGCATTATTTTCTTCAGTTTATAATGACATCAACAACAACAATAATAACCTGAGGCTGATGGAAGTAAATCAATTCCCAAACATTGAATATACTGTAATTATCCAGCTTGGAATACAAACCTGGTTAATATTGTTCCAAAGTCAGTGATCTTTCTATTACTTCCAGTCATGCCCCATTAAGCCCACATAGCACTCTGTATTCAATATATGATAGTGTCCATTTGCTGCTTCTTATTGCAGAATCCAATTATATTCTCACATTCACAACTGATAGTAAACCAACAGGTGCAATAATGACTAATATTTTTTATTCCCTGAGTGCAAGACCTCATGTCAAGTGTAGTATCTTATTTGTTTTAGATGTCAATAGATAATTAACTTATAATTAACATGTCTTTCGTTTTTAATTTAAGTTTTGAGTAAGAAGCCCATTCAGAAGTCCAAAAGAAAAAGTGTGTAATAAAAAGTAATTTACCCAGATCCCCCAACACTCAGTTCTTGGAAGAATCAATAAATGTGTTACCCATTTATTGATATTATTTAAAAGGCATTTTATGTAGATGCAATTGTGTTTAAGGAATTTTACCATGTTTCTTTATTAAGCATGTATTAACATATCTCTGAAATTATTATATTTCTCACTCTGATATTTCATGGTATGAACACAGTATTTTGAAGTAGATAGAATAGAAGAGGCTGGACACCTGAGGAATTTTCAAGAAGCATGTTTATTGACAGCAGGATTCAGAGGTGGCTCTGGCCTAAGAATTTTTCCTCTGAACAATGAGTATAGAAATTCTTTGAACTTTATACCCAGTGACGGGGGCTGGGGTAGGGGTGGGGGGGAGTATACAGAGGTTTCACAAGTTTGTTTGCTTTTTTCTGTACACCTGGCATTTATAAAAAAGAAGAAACTACCAACCACAGTGCCCTTCTGCATGCAGAAATTTTTGCTGATAGAAAGCTTTCTGAAGAAGAGGAATTTATATGTTACAAATATAATGGGGGTTTCTGTTTAATTATGGCAAGAGTCTTCTGGGTGGGAGTTTCTGGCCTGCTTCAGTATTTTTAACCTGTTCCCTATCCATGAATTTAGATCATATCATTCTTTATTCAACAACTTATCTCTGAGAAAATTACCTATTAGATATGATGTTTTCATCTTTAATAGCTATATGTTATAGATTTTATAGTATAATATTCATATAACATGAATATAAAATGTTTTATCAATTCCTATAAACTAAAATTTAGGCTTATCAATGGGAATTATAATCTCTTTTGTGAATTCAAAATTTTCTATAATGAATAGCCATGTATACATATCACTTTACAATAAAGGAAGATAAATTTATAGAAATGGAATCGCTTAATTAAGATAATTTCTATTTTTATGTGATAAATTAAATTTTTAATGTTCTTTTCTTGTTGAAGTTTTTTTTCCTAATATCTATAGGAAAATTATCTATAGATAATTTATATCTAGGATTTATGTCCAAATCCACAAATGAGATTTGCTTATAGTTTTCTTCTTTTGTACAACTGATGTTTTTTTACTATCAATTTTATGCTTGTTTCATTAAAATAATATATCTATTTTTCTTTTTCCCATGCTTTGAAAGAGTTTTAAAAAACTCAAACACCACTGAATTAAAAAAAACGTATTTCAGGTTCACAGCAACACCAGGTGATTCTTACTCTCCCTCCTCCCATTTCCAGATGAGGAGACAAAGACAAGTAATATAATTCATAGGTGCCTAGGACAGATGTATTACAGACAAGGTTTGGACATATGTCAATGGTTCCAAGAATGTGCTGTTAAGCATTATGTTAAGTTGCTTCTCTTTGTTGTGACCGTGAAAAGTTATCTTTGTATTATCTGTAAAATGGAAATAATGCTTCTCTCTGCCTAACTAATAGTTACTCAAACACAATGAAAGTGAAAGCACTTGGTGAACTATAGAATTTTATTATTTTACTCTAAAAAGTCAGACCATATTCTTGGGACCAATGTTACACTTTTCCATAACAGATGACTTTTCTGTAACTATAGAGTATGAGCTGACTCTGCCTTTATCTGAGTCCTGGAAGATCTCTCCACCTCAGTGTTTTCTTTTCCTGTCAGGGCCAACAGTAATGCATATGGATTTGAATGAGGACAGCATTGTTCTTCATCATTCTCAACATGGATGGCTCTCAGTTCCATCTCCGCTAAAATACATGTCCTAAGGAGTTACTAAAAATTCAGGGAAGATATGGGATATTTTTAAGCAATTCTTATTTTTCCATTGGTGTATTATAATTAGACATAATAGAAAATTCATTCTGCTGTATTTGTACATGAACATGAAGATTTTTTTCAAATAATAAAACAAAAACACTGCTGGTGGAAGAGAATTTACCTTTTTTCATTAGTCATTGTGATTCAGCCTACCAGATTTCATATCTTTTGCAGAGTTTTAAGGAACTAAGGTAATATCCAACTTAAGCCTTGAAAAATTACGTGAAGAAACTGTAAGCTTAACAAGATTTTCTGGGTCACATAACTGCCCCTCTACTAGTGCAACATTGCCAACAGTTGCCCTTCCACTCTGCATGGGCCTGCCAGTATCTATAATTTGTTGAGATGGGATTCATCAGCATCAAAAAGAAAATATTAGCCTTCTTTCCTTCTTGACTTTATAGTTTCTGGGATATTCATAAAAATAAAAGGTTTCACCTATGTTTTATGTATTGTATGATTCAAACATTTTCTTGATTGCTTAGAGGGTTCATGATTATCAATCTCTCATTCTGTTAATACCTGATTGTAAGGACAGGTTAAAAACAATTTAATTTATCAGCTTTGATTTTGTTCAATGTTTATCCAGTGGTTGTATTGATAAGCAGAAAGAGAATCAGAGAAAGTGTGTTTTAACTTTACTGTGTGATGGAAAATAGTGTTTTAAGGGTTTTGCTGAATTTACTACCTAAAAATCAATTACTAAGGTGTTGACTTAAAAATTGACAGAGGCTAGTGAACCAATTAAGCAGCTTAATTTAGCAGAGGGATTATAGTCAGCTGGTTAAGGAAAAAGACTTGAACCAGAGAACCTGACTTCAGATTCCAGCTCAAACACATACTTTTGGCTTTAGGAAAATCAGTTTATCTCTCTCTTTTCCAGTTTGCAGCTCTGTAAAATGGGGAGGATGATAATACCTACCCCAGGGGAGTATGAGGATTCAGTATATTTATCTTCACTTCTTAGAAAAGGGGTGTGTATTTAACAAGTGCCATTAAGACCCTCGTGTTTCTTTGACTCCTTTCTGTTTCCTCTATCAGAATTTCACTGAAAAAACTATAGACAATGCCAACGTATTATTCTCCTATTGTCAAAAACATAATTTGCATAACTATAGGTAGTAAGGGAACCAACAAAAAGACAAAGTAGACTCCTAGGAAGTAATGAGACCCTGGATGGATTTGATCCAAGAAAAAGCTGCTAGGAGATGGCTTAGTTAGAAGCCTTATAGGGAATTAAAGCAGACATTTGGACTATCTCTTCTATCAGACAGAAAATAAAATCATTGTACCTTTTGAGTTTTGTTAAAGTTAATATCTAACTTTAGAAGATTGTCAAATGCCTGGGCCCCAAGTCAGTAGGAAACAGTCACAGTTGCTTTTCCCTAGAAAGTTAGGTGACTCCTAAGGCCAGTCTGCTAAATATTGTCTTCATTTTATGGTATTTCAATATTTCGGGACAGTTTTTCTTAGTAAGAAAGAAATATAAGAAAGTTTTCCTTAGTAAGAAAGAAATATAGAATTTCTTTCCTACAATTTTATAAAACTACCTACATAAAGATTTGGATGAGTCTTACCAAAGGCTTTTTAGCTCAGAATCACCTCTCTCCTTAGGAAGGGATAGAAGTCAATCTTGGAAAAAAAAAATGTGAGAATGAATTTATTGTTCTTATTGACAAAAGTTCACTTGCTGTTTGAAATATCAAATGTATTTTACACTGATGTGGATACATCTGTTTTTATTTTTATTTTAAAGCCACTGAATTATGAAGAAAATCATCAAATGATCTTAGAAATTGGAGTAAACAATGAAGTTCCATTTATTAGAGAGATTGCAACCAGAGTACCCACCATGAATCGAGCTTTGGTTACTGTTCGAGTGAAGGATCAGGATGAAGGGCCTGAATGTAACCCTCCAGCTCAGTATGTGCGAATTAAAGAAAACTCAGCAGCGGGGTTAAAGGTCAATGGCTATAAGGCATATGACCCTGAAACTAAAAATAGCAATGGCTTAAGGTACAAAAAAATTTATAACCATTTATTAATAATACATTTGTCACAATTGAAATAATTTCTTATTTTAAAACATATCACGATGCCAGAGTTTATTTTCTTATTTTTTTTAACAGATACAAAAAATTGCATGATCCTAAAGAATGGATCAGCATAGATGAAATTTCGGGATTAATAACAGTTTCCAAAGTCCTGGACAGAGAAGTTATGGCTCCCAGAAATGATGTTTATAATGTTACAGTCCTGGCAATAGACCAAGGTAAAAAAAAAAAAAATCAATCTAGTGTTTCATAAAAGAATGGGAGAACAAACTACGATTATTCCTGTGCAGAATTATTTTTGGGATAAGCATATGCAATTCTTAGAAATTATCTTAAAGACTGTTCTTATCTGTCTTAATCATCTAACAAGGTGAAACTGCTTAGCAACAGAAACCCATCTCTTATTTATCTGTGTATTCTTAAGATGTAGGGCAGGACCTCAGCTGCTTATGTGGTTCTCCATGTTAAAGGACAAAGATAAAATTTAAATCTAGAACTAGATGAAACAGACTCATGAGATTCCTCCAGGTCTCTTTGTGTCACTTTAAATTGAGCTTTTAAATAGTCCAGGTGATTATTAGGTCAAGATGATCCTTTCCTTGAATTATGTTTCATAAATTACCCTAGAATATCCCAAGTCTGGCTTCATATTAAAATTAAAATGTCAAGGCATAGATATTACCTTAGACTAATTGAATCAGAATATCTGGTTGTGGAGCCTGGGAATCATATATTTTAAAAATTTCCCTGAGTGGTTAAAATACATCTTGGGATTAAAACCTAACCAAAGTTAGGATAAATTTCTGTAACTGTCTCGCTGCTTATTAACGTTTGCACCAGGAACTCAAGGAAACAGGATTTGCATTTCAGACATTTATATTTATTATTTGGTAGTAATTCTAGTAAAAGATGTGTTAAAACTTTTATCTGATATTATTAACAGCAGTAATCATTTTAAATTATCTGCAGATTTTATTTATTCATGTTCTTATTCACCATGCCTATAATAATCAGAGAGTTTATTTTAAAGAACTCATACATCATTGGAACTGAAGACTACCAGACTAAGTGAAATAAACCAATCCTCAAAATCCAAAGGCCAAATGTTCTCTCTGATTTGTGGATGCTAACCCCAAACAAAGGAGATTGAAATAGAAATCCATTTGGAATAGACACAGGGAAACAAAGGGAAGGGAGAGGGGTGGGTAATAGGAAAGAGTTAAATTAATTGGTCATAACTTTCCTACTCTTGTTTTTGTATACACTACCATGGAAACTCCACATCACGTCCAACCACAAAAGTGGGATCCTAAGTAAAATAAGTTACACTCTATGTACGTATGTTCTGCCAAAATACATTCTACTGTCATGTATAATTAAAAATTTTTTAAAAGAATTCATATGTCATATATAGATTATAAATGACTTTTTTTCCCCTTAAGAAACCACAAAACAAGGATTTAGAAGCAATGCTAAACCTGGTTTGTTCCTCTTCTCAGATGGCAGATCATGTACTGGAACGCTTGCAGTGAACATTGAAGATGTGAATGACAACCCGCCCCAGTTACTCCAAGATTACCTTGTAGTTTGCAAACCAAAGATGACTTATGTTGACATTTCAGCCATCGATCTTGATGAACCTGTCCATGGAGCTCCATTTCATTTCAGCTTGGCAAACACCTCTCCAGAAGTCAATAGAATATGGACCATCAACAAAGTTAATGGTATTTAGTCAAAACTCATGATTTATATGCTCTGAAATGAAAGAATTACTGGAGGATGGATTTACTTATTTACTTACACAAAACATAATGCAAAAATTGATTTTCAGGAGGTCAAATAATCTTTTACAAATACTGTGTGGTGAGTGTGTTACATATTATAAATAAAATGAAGGGAATCATGACTTTTACGCAAGCAAAATTTACATTTACAAGACAGACAAAATATGCTTATCAAAATATTGGGCAGCTTATTGTTAAGATAAACTTTCATTGTGTTTTTTAATTAATACCAGCCAGGGAAAAAAGAGACCAGAAGATGTGTAGCTTAAATTGTATTGTAAGCAGGTTCTGGAAGTGAGAACTCTGGGTGAATGAGACAAATATACTGTGGTATTCTGTACAGGAATATGGTGGAATATGAAAAGGGGCCTTGGCATTGGAGCCTCCAAGAGATAACTCCTATGATCACAGTTTTTTTGTGGGGGTGTGTAGTGCTCTGTATTTCATTCATATTTCACTCTGTTGTTTTGTTATTACTATGTCATTTTTTTGTGTGTGTGCCAGGGATTGAATCCAGGGGTGCTTTAACTACTGAGTTTCATCCCTGGCCCTTTTTGTATTTTATTTTGAGACAGGGTCTTGCTAAGTTGTTCAGTGCCTCACTAAGTTGTTGAGGCTGACTTTGAACTTGCGATCCTCCTGCCTCAGTCTCTGAAACCACTCTTTTATGCAACTGGACTTTTGGATATTCTGTCCCTTCTTCCTAGAACAACTCCTTTCTTATTTCTTACTTCATATTGATTTGTAATATTTTTGGAGTACCTAGTATTAGGCAGTGTTCAAGATCCCAAGGAGGTGTGTGTGTGTGTGTGTGTGTGTGTGTGTGTGTGTGTGTGTGTATGAATGAATAACAGACACAATCCCAGCTGGGATGCTCAACCTCTGTGAAGTCTTTCTTGAATTATAAGGAGCAGCACCACAGCCTTATGCTACCTGCATTATTTCACCTTTCATCTTGCACTGTCACATGAGTTCCTTTGTCCTCTAGCAAATGAGCTTCTCACAAGATTTGTAATTCTTTGTTATTTTCAGTACCTAGTTCAGTGCTTAACAGTTCCTAACTGCTTAAAAAGTATTTAATCAATATTTGATTAAGGAGTATTCATAAAAGAAAAAACTTACTAGAGGAATAAGTGGATTGTTGTTATTAGGGTCTAGAAGGTTTTTATAGGAATGCTCAGTTTGGGAGGAAATTCTGGAGATGAAGAGTCTTAGGTGCCATAATGAGGAAACTGACTTTGGACAGTAGGTGACAGCAGGTGTGCACTGGAAATGTTCTCGGAAGACAGCGCTGTATGCAGATTTAGGCCCTATAAAGTTGACATTGGTGACAGGAGGACAATTTGAAGAGGGCATAATTGAATGATAAGGAACATCAGAGGCTGCACTTCTGTGAATAAATAAAACATGATGATGACTCAACTGGTAATCTTGAAGGAGGAGTGGGACTTGAAAGTCTCACTCTAGACATTTATGGTCCTGAAGACTCCCAAATTAACCCAAGCAGTAATTCACATTCCTTGAAGGACTTTAAGATATGAGGTTCAGCCAAAACTCTTCAAGTTCTCAGAGTTATAACAGTACATTCATCAAGGCTTAGAAATTCCAGATGACTTCTAGTATGTATGTTTTGCTAGTTGGTTATATTTTTAAGTCTGTTATAAAAATTCAAGGAGGTTGTGATTACCATTGAAAGTCTGTGGAGTTTTTAAAGTAAGGTTTTAAGACCACCGGAGAAAACTATCACATTAATGAAAACAAACTGTTATGATGTTCATTATCTATTTTTGCATCAGTCTTATAATTAGTCTGAGTGCAACAATCAGCTTTTTGGTGTTGCAATTACTTCCAGATGTAAGGCATTAATCATGAAAGATCTATTGAGAGCCTTAAAAACTTTCTTTCCCCATAAAGATAAGGAACAGACACCAGAAGGTAAATGGATAAGAGAATGCAAATTCTTTATGTGTGTATGAACTGGTACTAAAGAAAACTGCTTGAGTTGTATATTAAGAATGAATCTAGCACTACTAGTTTGCATAGATAGGAATATTAAATATTGCTGGAAGGCTACTGGGTTATTCCAATGCCAAATTATTTCTTTTCGGCCTCCTTCCACAGAGTTATAAGGGGTAACATGTTAAGTTATAGTATTCTTTGAAAGGGTTGAAGGTATTTCTCCATTTGTATTTATTTTCATATGGCTAGCAACTCCTAAAAATATAATGCCTTTAAAAAAATTGTGGTCAAACAGATGCTAAGGGAAAAATACATGATCATTCAAAAACAACTTTTTTATTTTTTACAAAATTTTCTTACAGATACAGCTGCCCGTCTGTCATACCGGAAAAATGCTGAACTTCAAAAATATATCATTCCTATTACTGTGAAAGACAGAGCGGGCCAATCTGCAACCCGAAACTTGCGAGTTGATCTCTGTGACTGTACTCATCCCAGCCAGTGTGCTTCAACTTCAAGAAGTGCAGACGTGTCACTTGGAAAATGGGCCATCCTTGCAATATTACTGGGCATAGCACTACTGTTTTGTAAGTATTGTCACTTATTTCATGTTCACATGCATCATAGAAGATATGAGTGCAGGAATGGGTCTTCAGTCAGCTTGTGCAAGCATCCATCAGATGTGAATATTCTCAGAAGTTCCCTTTATGTTATTATCTGAGTTTGTTTTGAGACCTTACTATGGAAGGAAACATGCTCTTTCTTGAGACAGAAAACTTCATAATGTGGACAGAATTGTTAAATATTTTTTTAGATTGCACTAAATCTACTAACATACAGTTTCTATTCCTTGATCCTGGTGTTACCACCTTTTAGGGCTAAAGAGAAGCATCTAAAACTCCTGATATGAGAGTTCACAAAAGCCTTTCATTTCATGTCTTCTTGCCTTTCAGCCAAAGACATGGGGGAGATGTTCAGATCACAGAAATCTCATCTTGGGTTTATCTTGCAAATTTTGAATTCTGTTAGCCTCCCTCTGCCAGCTATGTAGTTCCTAATGACACCATAATTCCCTCTGCTTTTACTTCTGTCCATGCTCTAGCTTGGATTAGCTTTGTTCTGTGATAGGAGTAATGCTTAAGAGCAAGATTCTGGATTTATACCCAGCCCTTATTACTCGCAAGCTATAGGTCCTGGGGCAAGTTATGTAACTTTAGGTTTTCTAATCTGCAAAAGGGGACAGTTGTAGTAACCTACTGTATGGCGTGGCACTGAGGATTAGCTGAGTTAATGCATCTGAAATGCTTAGAATAGTGTCTGGTAAATTTCTAGTAAGCATTTGTTATTTTTCATCATCCCAACTATATTATCTATCTATAGTATAAATGATATATATTAATATATATATATGTATATATATATATATATAATTTATTAGTTCTTTTTAGTTATACAAAATAAATATGTATATTGAACATCTACTATATACCAGAAACGGAGCACTTTTGAGGAGGCAAAAGTTGGTACACTTTTTCTTTAAAGGACATAAAAGCATATTTTTTAAACTGTGCAGACAGTTTCATTGTATTTAATCAAATCTGCCCTTGAAATTAAAAGTAGCCATAGGAAATACGTAAATGATAGACATAGTTGTATTCTAATAGAATTTGATACAGAAGCTAAAAGTTCAAATTACATGTAATTTTCATGTCATTATTATTATTGTTTTTTATTATTATGGGATTTTTCAATTATTTAAAAATATAAAGTCTTAGCCCATGGTCCATACAAAAACATATGGTGGGCGATTTGAGGCTGTAGCTTTGCCAATCTATTATTGGGTCCTTAAATCATTGTAAAGAGTTGTTGGTATTACTATTGGTTTTATTATCATAAATTATGAACCTCCCATAATTATGATATGGAACAAAAATTCTAGATACATAGACGCAAACTAGGTTTAATGAAGATACTTAGAGATAAATCTACTCTTAGAACAGAGTCTGTTTTGAGCTGGACGTGGTGGCACATGCCTGTAATCCCAGCAGTTGGGGAGGCTGAGGTAGGAAATTTGCAAGTTCAAAGCCAGCCTCAGCAAAAGTGAGACACTAAGCAACTCAGAGGGACCTTGAGTTGCTCATTTGTATTAATAAAATACAAAATAGGGCTGGAGATAAGGCTCAGTGGTTGAGTGCCCCTGAGTTCAATCCCCAGTAGCCCTCTACCCCCCAAAAGAAAAGGATCTATTTTGTCATCTTTTTATATAGTCAGCCTTTTGGGAATCAGTAAGTCTCTTTAGTATCTTTGTCTTAAATGAATGTCAATGATTTTTAAATATGTTACTTAACTCATATGCTTTAATGTGGTGGGCAGAATTCCCTTAAATCAGAAAATTATCAAATCACATATACGATTCTTTCAAATTTTAAAATCTAAGCTAAGTTGTGGTTTATTAACTTAGAAGGCCAAGATAATTCATGGGAAATGGTGCTTGTTAGTTTCATTTTCTTCTAGTAGCCCCTAAGTTATGAGAAATGAGGAATGATTGTAGTTGTACATGGTTATTTTATTCTGCATATGTTAAATTAAGTTTTTTTTTTTTTTTTTAACTTAGCTGTATTGCTGACTTTAGTATGTGGAGTTGTTAGTGCCAGAAAAGGTAAAAGTTTCCCTGAAGATTTAGCACAGCAGAACTTAATTATATCGAACACAGAAGCACCTGGAGATGATAGAATGGTAAGTAGGTTTTTTTTTTTTTTTGGATGATAAATCTACTATCATTTGTTTCCTTTAACTCATCCTCATGAAGCTTTTCCAAAATTTAGAAGTTTATTTACATTTCTAATCAGGTCCAATTTTGTAAGTATAAGTATTTGGTTTGTCAGTATTCAAATATTTCTATAGTAGTATTTATTAAATATATTAAACCAGATTTGTGTTTTAGTTATATTTTTTTACTTTATTTATTTATTTTGAGAACTTTGAGTCAAATGAATTGACTACTTTTTAAAAAATTTCTTTTTTCCATATTTTAAACTGCTGCATTGTAATGGTGGGATTCATTATTATATTTTTATGTATGCACACAATGTAAGCATATAATTTTCTGGAATTATTATTTTTCTTTCTTTAGTATTATGATTTAAAGCTGATCCTTTGATGTGAATTTATTGTGACAAAAATATTTTGGCTGCTCTTTTCAATTACATTTCCAAAGCTTATTCATTTAATCTTATTCTTTGATTATTTTGTAATAAGATTTAAAAAACTTTCTAAAAGTTTTCAAGATAAGTAGAAAAATAATCTGCTTAAAAATTGTAATGGGGATATGGACCATTACTGTTACCCTGTTTCCTTAGAGCTGCTTAGTTCTATGCTTATCATTTTGTGGGATAGATATGAAAAAATACTTACAAGGCATGGCTCTTCTTATGGGAAACAGAATCTACTTTAATGGAAAAGATAAATAAGAATATGACAGTAAACTAGTGTGATAAAACACTGTTGGAATTCAAAGACACCTATAATCTATAAGTATAACTTTTATGGTTTGAATCAACTAGGAAGGCCTGGGAAAAGGGGTGTGGCTTTCATTGTAACTTAGAGGAGATGGAGAGAATAACTAAAGAGGGGAAAATGGTCTAAAGAATAATAAAGGTGATGGCAAAGTCTAGGGACTGTTGGGACAATTAGTAAATAAATTGCTTTGAATGGAAGAAACCATGTTGGAATAGAGGCTTCAGATGAAAGGTTGAAAGGGAGAGGTGGGAGCTGGGATTTTATCACAAGAAAGACTTTATTTTCTTGGTAGGAAGAGTCAGGTCAGACTTTTTCAGAGGAGAGTGACATCATGCCAGTCACTTCTGAAATGCTGAGTCAGAAGGGGGATCAAGAGAAAGCCTTTTTTTTTTTTTTTTTTTTTTGTGTGTGTGTGTGTGTGTGTGTTAGGGAAGAAGTTAAGGCTCTAAATATTCTGAGAGTTTAAACATGAGATAGCACTATTAGGATAATGGAAAAGTGAATTTTAAAGTAGGAATGAAAAAGACATAGTTTTGAAGACATAATGTTTACCTGTTTACTGAATTTGAAGGACAAAGTAAAAAGTATAGATAAAGTGGCAGAGGGTATAGGCAGGAACAATGATGATGTGTGTCATTTTCTATATCTCCAAATGAGGAAGCCTTTCTTATTTACCATGTGACTCTTTACCTCCTTCTCACCATTATGCAAAATCATAGCCATCTATGCTTGACATGTCTACTTGCCGAATGCTATGATTATCTCCACAATTGTAAAGTATGTCAGAAAATGGGTTTAGGTGCTAAGTAGCCCTGAGTCATAGTAAGTTCTTATTTTATATGTGAAAATGGAATTGATAAGCTTTACTTAATATCTGTTTTTTTGCTATTTGATGCTAGATCTGATGGTATTGATTGGCCATTTTACCATATTTACCTGTTCTCTATTAGGAACACTTTTATTACTATTATTATTATTATAATTAGTAGAAGTAGAAGTAGTAGTAGTATTCTATAAGGTGCTTGGTATCATTCATTCATGCCAGAACATAATTTTAAGCAAATTTTTACAATTTTCACAGTGATTACATAAATTCTCATAAGTACAATGAGGAAAGGTGATGATTTTAGTTTTGGATCAGAGTTCTAATTAAAAGTATTCAGAGGGGTCGAGGGTTGGGTGAAAAATCAGAAAAAGTAAATCTGGGGAATTATTGACCTGAGTAGGGAGTAGTTGATACCCTGTGAAACTTTGGGAGAAAGCAGATAAATGTAAGTAGGAAGAAAACAGAGAATAGATCCAGTGTCTGTCACTGTGGGGTCAACATCAGCATAGATTTTTGTGTATTTTCAGGTCTTTCATTAACTTGGATATGTATTTATTATGACAAAATTTCACCATCATGGAGATTTAATAGTCAGGAATTAATTTTTTCTTATAATGGAATTTGACTGTAGCAGCAATCTAAATATGGGGTAGCACTGCCACCAAATGGCTACTTTTCAATTCTCTTCTTTTGATTTTTTTCCCCTTAAAGGCAACGAGATAGCATGCATGACTTGTAGATATATTTCAGGTTATATAAATCATTTGAACTTGAATATCTTCCAGTTTCATTAAAGACTCTAGACATTAAATAGTAGAAACATTAAATCAATAAGAGGATAGCACAATGGACAGTCTGATTATAGTGAAGATTCTTGTTGTGACAGTAGCATAATGGTGCATAGTCAGCTGACACAGCAATTTACTGCTATAAATAACCCCTGACCTGTGGCCCAGAGTGCTGGAGTGAAGGTCTAGGGCTAAGTTAATGTTTAATCAATCTCTTTCATTTCAAAGCGTTTCCTTGACACTTGGCTTGTTACCCTTCCTCCCTCGCTCTCTCATTCTTTTTATGAACTAACTTCTGGAAAGAAAATAAATATACCAGATTCATCTATAACTTTACTTCCTATTTACTGGGTACTTTTTGGAATTTCCTTGACAAAGGTCACCAATGACTCCTTTTCCACTTTTTTACTTATATCCAATGGGCATATCCTGTATTTTTTTAAAAGATTTTTTAAAAAATGGACACAATATCTTTACTTTATTTATTTCTATGTGGTGCTGAAGATGGAACCCAGTGCCTCACATGTGCAAGGCAAGCGCTCTACCTCTGAGCTATAACCCCAGCCCCAACGTCCTGTATTTGAATTAATTCTTATCATGCTCCAAATTTTTAAAAATTGCTTGGTCATTCCCTCCTTCTCATTATCCTGTCTGCATGGCTTCAGAGTCCTACTTTTTTAGTTCCCTCTATTATCTCAGTGGTTGTTTTAGACAGATCCTGTCACAGCTGTATTTCCCTTCTCCGTGCTTTTGAGACATGATTTTTTTCTTGTGGTTCTATCCTTAACCCTTTTTAAATTTTGGTCTACAATTTTCTCTGAGTACCTTAATTATTCCTGAGGTTTCAACTATCACCCCAAAATTATGACTTCCAGAATTATGTCTCCAGATTAGGTCTCTCACATGAGCTCTAAGGCTGCATATTTATATGTTCAACTTGAAACTTCATGTGTCTTAAATACATGACTCCAAAAATTGAGTTGCTCACCCTCCTCTTGCCCATAAGAACATTTTTCTTTCTGATTTCAGTGAATTGTATTATTATCTAGTTGGCCAAGTAAAAGGAGTCATTCCTGACTCTCCCTATGCTGCTCATCCATCTAGCCACCAGAATACTCTGTATGGAGTCCATCCACTTTGAGTTCATCATTATCTGCCTAGGTTTAGGTCCTTATAATTTTTCATGGGAAATAATTCAGTGGCCCCATCTGATCTTCATGATATTAATTTGTCTCCATCTTATTTATCTTTTACATTATTGTCTAGAATGATATTTTTAAAATGTGTTCCTCTCTGTAATAATTTAAAACACTTCATTGGGTCTCAATAATCTCATTGATAAAGTTGGAATTTTTTTAGCACATCATGGAGGACTTTTTCTCCTTCATCTCTCTGTGTGCCTGTCACCATCTCTCTCTCCCTCTCTCTCAACTTCATGTGGTAGCCATTCTCAAGTCACTGAAGTTGAGGACCCCTGCAGTAAGTACCCCATTTACCTTTGACTCCAGACTCTTCTACAGTATTGCATTCTTCCCCAACTCCTACAGGTTTTTAGTCCCTCAGCTCAGAGTTTTCCCAGTCGACTCCACTTATTCTTTCTGGGATTGTGTTTTAATCTTTGACCTCTATGTTTGCTAGCATTTTGTGTTCACCTACACAGCAGATTAAACACATTCTTAAAAGTATTTATCTTTTTTTTTCTTATTAGAATAAAAGCTTCTTGCAGTCACAGAGGGACTATGTCTACTTTTGTATCCCTGTGCCTTTGCACTTATAGTAAATATTCATAAATGTCTGTTGGAGACATGAATGAATACATAGAAGGTGGAATGAATGTTCTCTCTCCCTTACCTTCTTGCTACTTTATTTGAAATGCATTTCCTCCCAACACATATGGTTTTACTTTATTTTGTATTAAATTGTAGTGTTCTGCTAATGGATTCACAGCCCAGACTGCCAACAACTCTAGTCACGGCTTTTGTGGCACCTTGGGATCTGGAATCAGAAATGGAGGGCAGGAAACTATCGAAATGGTGAAAGGACACCAGACCCTGGACTCCTGCCGGGGGGCTGGGCATCATCACACGCTGGATTCCTGCAGGGGAGGACACATGGATGTGGACAACTGCAGATACACTTACTCCGAGTGGCACAATTTCACTCAGCCCCGACTTGGAGAAGTGAGTTTCCCTACGTGCTTCAACTTTGAAGTTTAATATGTGTATATTTTTAGAGATTGCTTTTATATATTGTTCCATGTTCTTTCTCTTGCTTTCTCTGGTCATTTTTTAAATAAGCTCTTTGATTTGTTACATTAGCTACTTAAAAAATAATTTCCTCTGTCATATTCACTTCCATAAAATTAGAGGTCTAGTACCTTTTATTAAAGTTTTAAATTTAAGTGTGCACTTACGTCATGAATTCTTTTGATATAGAAGAATGGGGAAAATTCTAATTTGTCATGATTCCAAATTTCCCAATTCAAGCATGTATTTCTCTGTGAAAACAAAAATATTCGTATGCTATTGAGAATGAAAATGAACATTATTTATATGAAATATTTATTTATTATTTGTTTTTTAGCTTTTAAGTTTATTCTACATTGACACATTATAATTGTATATTGATATTGGGTATGGTATCTATATATGAGGTAGAATGATAAAATCACCCAAGAAACCTTTTTTTTTTTTT